TTCCTTTCTTTTTCCTTTCTTTTTCCTTTCTTTTTCCTTTCTTTTTCCTTTCTTTTTCTTTTCTTTTCTTTCTGCATCTGTGGAGGCTCTTATGTTTGGGTTTGTCTTGATCTGCTGCAGCCTAGGACTTTGCCAGCCTGTTATTGTCACTGTACAATTGTGATTTTGTTTTAGTATTACACAGACTGCATATAAAGCTGTGTTTATAATCTTCCTTCAAGTGCTACAAGCCCCCAGTGAGGCCTTTTCTTCTCCAAGAGTCTTGAAACTGGGTATGTGATGTTCCTCTAACCATGGGGAGTTGCCTGGCAACCATGACTCATCAAGTTTGATGGAAAGCAGCATGGCCATCCCATCAGGAGGTTCCTTTGGGACTCTGGAATGCATGCTATCAGGCATGATGGACCTGAGCACATTCAGTCTCATCAGGTAGTCTCAGAATTACTCTTTTCTTACAGTGGGAGGGATTTTACTGCCACAGCTCCTACCCAGAAGTTTAGGGACTGGGGAGATATGGGAAGACAGACCGCCAGCAACGATTGAGGCAAAGAACTTGCTGAGGGCCTCAGCCTTACCTATGTACGTTGCTGCCTTTTCTCCTTTGTGGCGTATCGGAGGGAGCACACTTTCCTTGAACTTTCTCTTCTGAACAGTGTACCCATGGAAATCCCTTCTTGTTAATTTTTAAAATCTCCTTCCAAGTTCAGTTTCACCTCTGTTGATTGACTTATGGAAAGCATTCTTGCATTCTTCCCAGGCGACGCATCCATGTTTCCCCTGCCTTTCCGTTCTCCTTCTTTTGCCCCCTGCTTTTTCCCTGGCCGATCATAGTTCTGTCACATGCTGGTTTCCTGCCTTCTGTGCCCAGTTTCTACCGTGAGAGCTGGAGAACGCTCATGCTCTCAGAAAGGCGTCTTGAAGTTCTCTTTTATAATTCAGCATTTGAGAATATATATGTATATATATAATTTTATTTTTTTCTGAAATTCTTGTCTGCTTTTGCAGATTGGCTTTCTTCATGGTGTAAATCAAATGTGGAATAAATTAAAATGACATGCTCCGCACACAGAATGTACTGAGGTGTTAACGAGTTGGTCTGCATAAAAGGGTATTTTCTTAGATATTTTTGCTAGAAAAATTAGTAAAATAGTCTGAATTGGAGTACAGCCACTGCAAATTCCCATCCAGAAATCAGATATGTTGGGAAGCAGTCAGTTCCTGAGGATATGGCAATTAAATTTCTTATAAGAGGTAGGTGATTGTCCCGTCTGGGAACCAAGCAAATTCTTCCTGCAGCTTTTTTAAGCGAGACCTCAGATTTTGCCTTCTGCTTTAGTGTAAATAATTGTGAAGAGGGTTCATTAAGTCAGACCGTGACCTCAGGCATGTGCTCTTACGTCTGATGATCTTACTGTGTCAGACTACCAGTAAAAACAGAACAAGAAAAAAGCCTGTCAGTCTGCCCATCTCCACAGCCGTCTTCCCCAGCAGTACTGACCAGTGAGCTCAGTATTTTTCCTTGCAATTAGGTTGTCTCATTCTTGAGCGCTTTTTTTAGGCTAGTGAATTTCGTGGGATCTCATCTCTGGGGAAACATATTGAGAAGGGTAAGCGATTCCACTTCCCTCCAGGAAGCAGTTCTGTCTGACCTCTCAAAGCCGGCATGTCTCGGCAGCCTGAGTAGCTTATAGTGTAAGCAGTGAGATTTGCCTGACTGCAAGTGCACTGCCAAATCAGGGCCCAAATCACTGATTGAGCCCCAGGGAGAGACCAGGTCAGGCCTGGGAGCACAGGTGAAGGCAATTCAATTGTGGGAGGGGAAGGGGTGGAGCCAAGCTCTACTCCTCTTAAACCCCATTTAAGGGCTGACTGGCACTGAGGAAGGATCTCTTTCAGGAGATCCCTCCTTTGCAGAGTTGTTTCGTGAGCCTAGGACTTTGGATGTGTGCATGCAACTTTTTGTGACAGTTTTTCATTGTGCCTGTCTCATGGCAGTTACGAAGATGAAATCTGCAACCTTGCTCTTTCCTTACTTTTCCTCCTTCTCCGGCTGTTTTTTTTCTTTTTTTTTTTTTTTTTTGTTTTGTGTTGCATCGAATACTTCAGAACCTACAAACCACTGAGAGGCTAAATCAGGTAAAGGAGTTTAAAAGACATCCTATTGTCCTTGCACAGCTTATTTTTTTTATGTCTTTTCAAGTGAAAAAATCCTCTTAGACATTCAGTGTGTAGGTTTGGGTAGGGAGGGATTTATCTTCTCAGCCTGATAACCTGAGTTGATGCAGAAGGGAGATGACTAAGGATGTTATTACAAGTGAGCACACAAAGTGGAAGAAGGTCTTCCTCCTGTGCTGTTTGATGAGGGATTGGTGTTCCACAGAAACAAGGACAGAACAAAGGTCAGGTTTTTTGAAACTGCTCATGGTCAAATGCTGGTTGTTGGTGTGAAGTTCACATGAATTAAGGATCACTGCATTTGTTTCTGATTCATCATAAAAATGAGGAAGAAAATCCTTTTTTCTCTTCACTGATGGAGGAATACACTCATACAGTCTGGTCCTCTGGTTAAAGTGAGGGTGAGGAGAGCTTATAACTGTTTGCAATGAAAGACATTACAAAGACTAGCATGCACAGCAGAAGTCCTCTTCTGAGAACACCTGGAAAATACATTTCTAACCACTGAAAGGGTTTTTTTTAGCAGCTTCAGGCTTTAAAGCTGCAAACTGTACTTCTTGCTCAGCCATTCTAGATAGTAAATGGTAGGATACACTAATAATGTTACTATGCAGATCACGTGAATAGTAAAATAACATGGATTGTAGCAGTTAAAATATCCAACTTTTGGGAGAAAATGTTTATTTGTAGTTGTGTTTATTAGTGATTTATTACAGATTATATATACACACACAGATAAAGTAATTGATGTATTACAGATATTTATTACACATCTTATTCCATTCATCTATAGTGGGATGTTTCCAGTAACTTCAACTGTCTAACACATGCAATAATTGCTGTCGCTTCTGTTTAACTGTTCCTACAAGTTTATTGGCACATGAGAAAACACCCACATTACAAAAGCAAGACATCGTTGCCTGGGCTCTTGTTCCAAGCATGTATTATGTCTTTGAGGAGGTTAAGGAAAATTCTTGTCAGGTAAGGGGATCCAGAAGCTAAATCCTGTGCCAGGAAACAGCCCTTCCTAGTTGTACTTCTTAAACCAAAGGGCTAAGCACTGACTTGGCCCCATACAAAAGAGGCTCCAAGCAGTTGTCAGAGTAAATGACATCAGTAAATGACATACTCCCCAGGAATAGAAGGGCTCTGCTGAGTTCTCTCTCTACCCAGTAGCAGGCCATACAATTGCCAGCTAGCTGAAGTTTGACAGCAGCCAGCACCTGAGCCTGCACCTTAGAGGGGCAGCCAGAGGGATGAGGCCAGAGAGCTGCACTGGGGAAAAGGAATCTGAGTCCCACAGTTGACAGCAAGTTAAATCATGCCATCTCATCTAGAGGGCAGACCACATCCAGGCCCACCCCTAGCAGCCAGAGAAAAAGGAAAGTTATCTGACCTCCTCCTTTGCCTGTGCAGGTCTCCTGACGCTGCTGCTCTATTTCTTACCCTCCTGAGCACAAACAAGTAATGCATCAGAGTCAAGAGCTGCTGGCAGGACCCCTCCCAATGCTCTAACCCAAGGAATACCTCCAAGGTGGTCCTTTAAGTTGGCTCCCTCAAAATCTGAGGTTTCAATCCTACTTACTGCTTTGCATCTTCTACATGACATCCTGAACTTCACCAGCTCACAACTGCTGCACTTGAGGCTGACCCAGTCTTCACATCCCCAACCAGCCCTTCCTCCACACTGAGTAAGCAAAATTCAGCAACGCCTCACTCCTCATTGGCTCCTCCATCTCCTCTGTCAGCAAATTCATCTTTGACACCTGCAGGAACCTCCTGGAATGAGGTATACCTGACAGCTCTGCTTTACTAACAAATGGCAGGGTGGTTCAAGCCTACTGTGATAGCTAATGTCCACAGCTGTGAGGTTACTGTCAGCCACATGCAGAAGATCTTATCAGCTTCCTCATCTGTAACCAACACACCCAGTGTTGTTACCCACATTTACTGCTTCTTGAGCCTCGCATGTCACTGCTCCCCTAGTTCTGCATTCATCCTTAGGCAGAGCTCAACACGTTCCAGTTCTCTCTCTGGAAGAGCAACTCCACCACCTCACCAGTCTGCCTCTCCTGTAAAGGGACTCAGCCATCCACAGCAGCATTCCAGTCGTGCAATCGCTCCCACCGTATTTCCATGGGTTGAATGAGATCGCATCCTGAAATTACACATAAGGGGCAGGGGGGGAGGCAAGATAAGAATACATAGTCTCATCCTGCTCGCTCCTACCACTGGAAGCAGGAGAGGCTGAAGCATTCGGAAAAGTCTTCCGGGAGGCCGAGGCCGCCCCGAGTCGCGCTCGGTCTCGGGCGACGACCCCGCGCCGGCCTTTCTAAAAGGGCCACGTGGGAGCCCGGCGATAGCGCCGTGCCGAACCCGAACAAACAGATGCAGCCGAGCGGCGGCCCTACATGAACCACAAGAAGACACGGCTTACCTAGTGACTTCTAAACACTCACCACTTCCATCATCTCACCGGTTCAGAATAACGAGAGGTTCCGCTGCAGTCCTCTTTCAGCCTGCAATAGAAGAAAATTTGTTCCAGCAGCCCTTTGCGTTGTTTCTTACTCCCAGCAGCACTGAGGCTGCAGGAATACGGCCCCGTCCCGCTCGCTCCCAACGATGAGAACGGGAGGAACTGAAGTCTCTACTATACAGCCCTGGGCTGCGCTAGGACTCGGAGAGCCGAGCGGCAGCACCCTCTGAAAACGCGCCGGCAGCCGACGCTACGACGGCTCCGAGAAGCTGGGGGAGCCTGGCGGGAGCTCCGCGCCTGCCCCGAACGGAGGGCGGCAAGAGCCCGGCGGCCTCCTGCTGCGGACAGACGGCTCCGAACGGCTCCCGAGCGCTCGCCGCCTCCGCGGTCCCGTTGCTACCGGAACGGCTCACCGGTTCGGGCTGATCCTTACTGTGAGACATCTCGCTGCAGCCTGAAACAAAACAACCCAAGAAGAACACTACTCAGAATCCAAAGCACTCACTTTAAAAGCAGCATCAGCGGCGCTAGGACCGGACGAAAGAGCAAAGCCCACTCCGGCTCCCGCCAGCTATGAACCCCGGCAGCTTTCGAGGTTCCCAGCGGCCTCCGGCGGAGCTTGAGAGGCGTTGGGCCCCGCCCCGGACTGCCGACGAGGCGCAGCTGTGCCCGGTTGGCCGCGGCCCCGCGGCACCTGGGAGTCGTTGCCTCGTTAGCGCCGACGGGGGGTCCTGACAGTTAGACATGCGGACTCTAGATCTGAACTAGGGTCTTAAATCGCACTTTCAATTACAGTTTGTTATGCGCTTCTCCTCACCTCGCCGTGGGATTCGTTAAGAAGTCAAATAATTGTGCCTAATTCAAATAGATCGCTTTGCATCTGATGTGACGCCCTACCAAAGAACCTCCCTTCCAAATCAGTGCCTCAACAAACTTCTAGTTTTGAGCTGGCTGAAGAATGGTGTGAAAGGACTTCATAGTTCTTTGAGAGAGCTCTTCACCAGACTCCCGGAAAATGCCTCATGTCACTTATCTGATTGTCTGATGGGCAGAAGATAGGAGGAACCAAACTTTGAGTTACAATCAGTTGTATGCAAAGGATGAGTTGAAAAGAGTCCCTCTGACTCTGCACTTGGAATGAGAATGTCTTGGGGGATACATGGACGTTAAATGCTTGTAAGAGCTACTGCCCAAAACTAAAACTTGGCCCAAGTGGCCAAGAAGGCCAGTGGCATCCTGGCTTGTATTAGGAATGGTGTGGTGAGCAGGACTAGGGAAATAATCCTGTTCCTGCACTCGGCACTGGTGATGCCTCATCTCAAGTACTGTGTTCAGTTTTGGGCACCTCAGTACAGAAAGGACATCGAGGTGCTAGAGCAGGTCCAAAGAAGGGCAACAAGATTTGTGAAGGGCTATGCCTGGGAGGAGAGTCTGAAGGAACTGGGGTTGTTCAGTCTGAGGAAGAGGAGGCTGAGGGGAGACCTTATTGCTCTCTTTCAGTACCTGAAAGGTGCTTACAGGAGAGCGGGACTGGTCTCCTCACTGGTGACAGGTGACAGGACGAGGGGAAATAGCCTCAAGTTGTGCCAGTGGAGGTTTAGGTTGGATATCAGGAAAAACTTTACTGAAAGAAGTCTATTCCAGTTAAGCACTGCAATAGGCTCCCCAGGGAGGTGGTTGAGTCACCATCCCTGAATGTGTTTAAAAACTACTTGGATGTGGTGCTCAGGGACATAATTTAGTGGAGGGTTGTTAGAGTTAGGGTAGTACGGTTGGGTTGTGGTTGGACTTGATGATCTTTAAGGTCTTTTCCAACCTGAGTGATTCTACGATTTGGTGATTCTAAGTAGTGGTTTGCTAGTTACAAGAACTTTCCTAGCAATATGGAAACAAGGACGTCGCGTCTGGTTTCTTCAGCATACAAGAGTGCTTTGATTTTCCACAAGAAATGGATCGCTGTGAATCTCTTCTAGTGCCCGCTGGAATAATGCTTCCTCTATCTTTAAACGCTGCGACCTGTGACCTTAGTTATATACTCTCATTCTTTCCTTTCATAACTTATTTTTATTTTAGTCCCTTTTAGCTCTTTGTCTCTTGTATTTCAGTGGAGGGGCACAGCTGATTGATTTGGTGCAATACACAGCTACTTGTCCTTTCAGAAATCAGTGAATTATTTGTCTTTAAAGCTTTTCTGTGATATAATTCCAGGGTGCATTTTAAACCTAAATTTGATTGTGGCAGCAGTCATTTCTGTGTTTCATTTCCTTCACATGCTGATCTGTCAGACAACATGGTGTCTCTCGCTGCCCCCAGATTCACAGAATTTGTTAGCTTTACATTGCAACAAATGAAAAAATAGATTCACCTTAATGCTGACCCTTGCCATTAGCTTTCAGACTCAATCCAACTGTGAACTGTTTGGGGTCATAGTGCCCTTTTATGAGGGGGCATTTACTATTTGTAATCTCTGGAAATAGTTCTCATTTAGTGTTTCAGGAACAATTTGGTTACTCATTCTCAAATATTTAAAATAATCATTTGTTTTTGTGCCATGCATGATGTGATTTGCATTAAAACAACACCTACGTACCTTTGTGAGCAGTTTTTCAGAGTTTACACATTATTCTTCCTGTGCTGCATCGAAAACAACTTTCAGCGATTTCACAGCAGTCCTAAGAAGGGCAGATTTGATGTCTGCTCTTCTTCAAACACCTTATTAAAACACTAATTAGGATCATCATCAATAGACAAGAAAGTATTTCTTAATTGGAATCAAATACCAAAATTGGCCAGCCATTTCTTATTGGCCTGTTTTCTGTTAATGCATGATGATGATGATGATGATGATGATGATTAATGAGAATGGACAACACTCTTATTTCATGTTCCAGTTCATTTGAAGAGATAATATTTTTACAATACAGAACTGCTTCAAGTGAGCTCTGTGGATTGGATCCCTGGTTGTCGCACATCACTGACATTCAGCATGTTGAAATGTTCCAACTTAAGGGTGGTATTTGGTGAAAAAGGCGCTACATCTCAAGAGATCAGCCCCTCAATTAGTTCAGATGGGAATGTAAGGTGTTTAACTCTGCTTCAAATAGCAGTTTGATGGATCGTGTAAATATTTTGTCATTTCAAAGGCAGAAGACTGAGTCACAGGGGACTCAAATATCCTGTTTCCATGCATTAAGCCAGTAGTTGACCTAGTTCAAAATTCAAACCTCTTCATCCCAGATGTATATCCTGCTGACTGTTCCACCCTTTCATTATAACGCAAGGCAGAATAACCATACTGCAGATTTCTTTTCAGAACAAAAGTTGGTTAAAAAAGCTATCACAAACTTTAGAAAACCTTGTCCTCCAAGGACAAGTCTCTCAGAACTTCACTAGTGGGATCATCACAAAACAGTGATAGAAAGGCAGTAAATATCGATACCTATTTGACTTCTCATACTCGAGACATTTATAAGATGCTTCTTAGCAAGGCAGGTGCTGGAAGCCAATTTGAAATTAATATTTCTGTAAGCAAATGACTTTAAATTTGTTGTTTATTCCTCACCAATTTCGTGAGAGTGTAATTTAATGAGATGTCTGTCAAATTTTTGCTTTTACAAACTAGTTAATTAACACTGACAGACTGCATCTGCTTCTTTTACTTTCATTCTACCTGAATATTTCATTCTACCAACTGAATATTTGGGATTATTTTCATGCCTCGTAGCTGTTCGCTTAGGATAGAGAAGTATTTTGGAACTGTGGCATTTGAGAGGAAGGATCTAGGCGTTTTGAGAAAGATCCAGTTTTGTCTTTACCATGGACACATCGATTTCTGTTGTCCCTATGAGGCACAAATATTTCAGGTTTGTGGATTTGTTTGCATGTAGCTTAACGCCGCTATTTGCTCCAGAGCTTATTTCTGTAAACTTGCAGTGCATGAAAGCATTTATTGTACCCATTGTAGACGGTTTATGTGCTGGTTGACCCAGTTCCGTGACTAATGAGGCAGGGGGACCCACCCCATGGATCCACGCCCTGGGAAAAGGGGAAAAGGAGAAAGGGTAAGGAGATGGGCCTAAAAACAAAGCAGCAGCAACAATTTGAGGAGGAAAGATAATTTACTAAATAAAAGGTATCAGAATGCAAGACAACACAATACAGAGTCACAGAATTGTAGAGGCCAGAAAGGACTTCTAGAGATCATCAAGTCCAGCTCCCCTGCAAAGCAGGCGATACAATACAACGTAATTGGAATTGAAGTTAATAATTCAAATAAAATGAGAGAGTGTCCAAAACCAAAGGCCTTATTCTAATGCTGAAGGTGAGACGGCTAGGGACCATGCACTGCAGAGTTGAGCAGAAAGGGAAAAGGGAACATCTTGTGACCTGTGTACAGTTTTCTTTTTAACCTCTAAGGGAAAATGGAAACAGAACAGCGAACAGTCCTCTGGAATATGTCATTCTCCTTCTCTTCTGAGACTGGTATACCAGGAAATATGCAGATCCTCAGCATTAACACCTTAACTCCCAGTGCAGTACACAATCTCATGATGTGGAATTACAATAACAAAAATCATGAAACTATGACACAACTCTGGAAATTCCTCATTAACAATAACAGGAAGGGCTAAGTAAAATCTTGACCTTCAGATTTACATTCACACGTGTTATATGTGCTATCACAAGGAGTTTAGAAATGCACTTAACATAAAATTACTGAAGCAAGCTGAAGTATATTTTTCATTTGTCAAGCTCAGGACTTTTCTTTACCAGGTCATTGAGCCTGATCATTTCCCAAATAAGATGTTTTAACTATCCAACTCTGCATTTGAACTCACCCGCTCAAGTATTTCCTAAGATGTAGGGGAAAAAAAATGAGAAGCTTGATCGCAAGACAGCTTAGCATTTCATTAAATTCTGCAGATCTAACACCACAGATAGTATAAATTGTATAAAACAGCTTATTTCTATGGCCCCATAAACAACAGCAGCATTGGAGTAAAATATAAGAGCTAATTAAATGTTTCTGCTGAATTATCTTACTGTAGTGGGTAGGAAAAAAAAGAAAGAAAGAAAAAGTAAAAAACAAACAAAGCCTATTAGTTTTGAATACTATGTATGCAACAGAGATACATTCACGATCTTAACTGTAATTTTAAACTACAGCACTTTCAAGCTCATATTCTGCTTTAGGATCAGTGTTCTCACAACAGAAGACAGTGGATTAGAGAACAGAGTAAATCAGAAGCGCAGCTTCCGAAGCAATGATTGATCTGCATCTCTGGGATTTCAGTTAATTCTAGCATTAATCCTGGGGAAACTCAATCTGCTATCCCATGTGCAAGAGTTCCTGCACAGAAGATCAAGAACAGGGAAATTATTTCCCCAAGTTTCGAGAACGCAAACCTCTGAATACATGCCTTGGAGTTCCTTTTAACTCTATCTGCTAGTACAATTTAATAGGTTATTAAAACGAAACTAACTGAAAGTGTAATTAAAAAACTACTATGCATACAAGTAGTAAAACAATTGTTTTCTCTGCTGCAATTGTAAGTAGAAAAGTAATCAGCATCTTATAAGCCTGATTTGACTAGCACGCTCAGCAGGATGCAGACATTACTTGTTTTCCC